TATTATTGTGGTAACCAGTGCATCACATTGAAGTCAAGAGGGAGAATGCCCTCCTCTTTCCCCAGCTTGCATCCCACCAAGCGTTTCCTCTTTTTTAGAATATTTAGAGAAGTATAGAGCCTTGATGCACAGAAATCTCCTGGTAAGATGACGATCAGTGTGGTGTAGAGGAAATGGAAATCGGCACACTGTAAGTAGAGACTGTGCCCCCGAAAAAACGGAAAGTAGTTCTCGAGGGAAAGAATAGGCCAAAGACGACGGTACTAATCTGTTTGTCCCTCTGGACTCTAACCCCTGCCCACCCTCCGACTGCCCTAGCGGCTATTCTCTCGCCAGTCAACTTTAGCCCTTTTGGCAAAAAAGCAGAGCAATACGTTCACGTTGAAGACATCAGCCTGGTTGGAATTCATCGAACACAGAAACCAACAGATAAAGAATGGGTTTCGCTTCGCTTGTTTAAGGCCACTTTCTTTGGTTTTTTCTTCACTGGTATGCTTCACAGCACATACGCTTTTATTTCCAGAGGCCACCCAGTTTGTTGTACCATCTGCCCTTGAACTGAGTGGGTAACATTGAAATGCACCCCTTTGTATACTCAAATGGTTCCTGCTTTAAAAATATTGCCTGGGCTATTTTGTTAATTTTCTTTCCTTGCTTAGTTCTACCAGTTTCAAACTGGTTATCCGCGACTCTTATGGTCTGTTTGTAAGGTACTCTGCTTGGTTCAAATCTGCTTCACACAAAGTATCTTTCAGGACGAGGACGTGGGGATTCGTTCGGCTATGGATATGGTGATGTATCGCCTTTTGGATCACGATTTGAAGCAGAAGCAAGAATGCGCGCGCAACAGGAAATCGAGTTACAGCAAAGAATGATCCGAGAACAGGAAATGTTAGAGTTGGTGTTCCGTTTCCTCCGCTGAATTAGTATTCACTGGAGTCTAGGGCGTAACAGTGTGAATCGTACTTTTGAGAAGCTACGTTGATCACAGTTCATGAGCGCACCCCTCTTTCGCATGCAACTTATGGTTTTGTTTTGAGGATGGCTGCAAAACTACGTGAGCAAGAACGTTATGGATACGGTGGAAGATCGTCGCACGGTAAGATTCTGCACAATTTTGATAGTTCTAGTCTCGAAGCTCGCTGTATCAGCTTGAAGTGGCTGGGAACAATAAAATGGTATACCCTTCAATGGCGTTGATTCTCTCACACGCATCATGTGCTTGAAATTCTAAATATGTTTTTGGTGATAGTTTTTCATTCATTCCGGCCTTTTGTCTGTACATAGCACCTATTATTTCGTAACCTAAAAGTGAAAAGATTGATTTAATTATTTCAGGCGGCTCATCGTCCGCTTTTCCTTATGGGAGAAGCAGTTATGGCGGCTACGAGTGAGTTTCAGACTTCAGACTCATTTGAAACAATTATTTTCCGTTCATAATACCATCGGTCTCATTTATTTTTTTTTTTTCTGTCATTTTTTTTTTTTGTAAATTTTGCAAAAATATCAATTTTTCTTCTCATTATTAAAAAGGATTCTTCGCATGAGGCGTGCTCATTTTTATCGTGGAATCTTCTTTAGATAAAATAGAGCAAGTTAC